TCTTTTAGATTTAGGTCCATTACTACATTCTTTGACATTAACCCAATTGATTATTATAATTATGATTACTTTGTCTATGATGATTCTTCTAAAGATGATGGACTGAATCCTGATGGAGCTGAGACAAAAGGTTTCACCTCATTTTGTGGGATTTATTTTCCTTTTCATTTATATTAATAACGCTTGCTGTTATTATATGCGTCGTTTTCGTTATTCATGTAGTACCTTTTCCTATCATGTATTACCTTTTATGTTCTTTTGAAAAATCTTTCTTTTTCCCTGAGGGTATTAGAAACTTTGCATGATTTGTAGAATTTTGCGTCTGCATTTTATCAGAAACGAAATAATAACGTGAAAATGTTGACATAAGTTTCTTTTTTTTATTGAATATAAAAATTCTGAAATAACGCTGCCTCTCACTAATTTACAATGGATTCTTTTAGTCAGGTTAGGTTGAATTGGTTAATTGAAATTGGTTATGATATTGATTACTTTGTCTATGATGACACCTTTAAAGTGATTTTTAGATGATGTATTGAATTTGCCTGAATCTGCCTGAGACAAAGGGTTTCCCCCCATTTAGAGGGATTTTTTTCTCTTTTTATTTATATTAATTACATTTCTTAGCACATTTCATTACAAAGCATTTTCTTATCTTAGTTTGATATAGTTTACGTTATGATTGTCAATTGATTTACTAAAATTTTAACATAGTTTTACATATTTTAAAACGTTATAAATGATAGTTAAATGTTTTTTCAATGATATTTGAAAAAACTTAGTGGAGGAAACGGATAAGTGAAATCTTCAGGGATATTTATTTTTCAGGGCTAACAGCATAAAGTTAAATGGATATGTATAATTTTCCGAAATTATTTTTACTTACATTTTAACTTCAATGTAACGAAGCCATATTAGTTTTGAATGTGATTGCATGATTTTTATTTCAAATTAGGTAGTGGTAAGTAATAATAAGGAAACGAACTTTTAGCCCAGCCCTCTGATAAATCAAGTTCAGGTACCACTTTTTTTTTCTTTTTATAGCCACTTTGAAAATGTCGCTTACTCGTATCACTCGCATTTCTCTTCATTTGTATTTTCAGCTCTTGTGGTGTGCTGGACACAATACTTATAATAACATACAGATTGGTGTCTACCGGCCGCGATTTTCCAATCCAGCGGCCTTTAACGACCTGTTCTCGTGTTTGTCATCCTCATAAATTAAAAAATTATTTTTGATTTCTTTCAATTCAGATAACAAATTTCAAAAGGGATGAAAGCTTGCATTATAATTGGGACGTGATGAAAGAGAGAGAGTCGTTAAAGGCTATTGGATTGTAAATTAGCATAACAGTTACGAAAATTTGGTAGTGCTAATATCATCTTCTATGATTTTCAAGGATTTTTATACTAATTTTAAAGTGCACAATACTAATGAATCTGATATTGTTGTTATCATCGTTGGCCATAAAGACAAGGGGCTGCGATTGTTCTTGTTTTCCAGTGGCTTCATCTATGGTCAAGAATTCCACTCCTGCCTCACCCGTTAACAGGGCGAACCCATTTATTCATCTACAGATCATAATTTTGACCTGAACCAGAGAATGGTCAACCTCCAATTCAGTACCCCCAGGGATATAATTTGTTATGGGAATATGGAAGACTTTGTGATCTGACAGATTTAATGTGCATCAGACACCATTTAATACACGGGGGAGTCTTCGACCAGCTGAATTTGAACTCCCGTTCTTAGCAACGTGTGTCCAGCCATCAACTCCTCCATCAGAAAGCCTTCGCACGTTGTCTTATAAGTAGACTGCGCGGACTATTTAAAAAGTAAACCAGTTGTGCCCATGAACCCAGATTCTATTTTAATAGTTATTGAGAGAAATTTATCATACATATTTGAGAATTGAATCTGTAGTGATTGACAAATAAATAAGATTAACTAATCATATACCATACCTGCCAACTCTTCCGGATTTTCCGGAAGATTTCGTTTTCATATTTAAAGTGGTAGTAAATATATACTATTTTTTCTTTTATAAACTTAATTTTTAAATGATTTTGATCACCACTATTCTTACAAAAATTAAGCACATATATTAATATGCGTTGCTATCATAATTGTCAACTTAAGTTTTTTCAAATGCAACGTATTTGCTTGCTTAAAATTGAAGTTTTAATTCCATTTTAATACCACTATGAAAAATGATAATGGAAGGGATTAAAAGTTGGCGGTATGATATACATAAAATAAACAAATTTTTAGATATATTTTTGCTACCACTTTCTTATTTTTATTAGATTTTATATTCAATGGATTTTACATTAAATTGAATCATCTTTTCTCTTTTGATTGTTGAGCTGGGCAACTGGGCCGAGCAGCGGCCCCTATCCCATCCATCAAGTTTGTTAAAATAGAAATGGTAGGAATTTATGAGGTCTATGTGGTGGCTGTATATACTGGTTTTTGTAATCTAATATTCAAGGGTAGGAATCAGTTTTTAAAAATATGTGGTAATTAATAAATTCACTAAAAGAGGTTTTCATTTAAGACGGTAGATACTGTCACCCCGAAAATTCTAACTCTCCTTAACATTAATGGTAATAATTAAATTACTATTTAATAAGCTAATGTGTTCAAAACTACTTTTCATTATGATTATTAAGGCATATCGTATACCGTACCATAACCATTAAGTATCGTACTGTAATATACGAAGCACAGGACTGGTACAATTTTCATATAAATGCCTTTATGAAATTATTTTTTAATTCATATTCGATTAGATGAATTCAGAAATTTATTTGTTTGTTATTGTTTTCTAAATATTGATCTAGGAATTTTAAGAGTTTATATACTTTTAACTTATTTGAATTGTTATAAGTTCTTGTAGTTTTAAGCATTATGTTGAGTTTCAAAGTTCTATTTATTTTACATTTCAAATATATTTCATCTGTGATGATTCACTGAAAATGATTTGAAGATGATTTCTAAAATCAAACTTCCTGCCTGAGACGAAAATTCTTGATTTGTAACAGAGCTACTATATTTAAATGCTGTTGTTTCATTATTTTGTATTCTCTACTTGTATTTTGTTCCATTTTTTTTTCTTTTTAGTTTTAATATATTGTGAAAAATTATAAACGAATGTTGTTGTAAATAATTATTATAAGAAAAGTAAATACTATTTTGGAATTTCTTTTTCGAAAAAAAAAGGACAACTTAAAGCAAATATTTTTGTTCTAATAAAGCAATAAAGAATAAAATAGGCTGCAAAATGATGATTCTGCAAATGACATGGGTCAGGGAACTAGTCTTTCTTCAGCAAGGTTCTGGGTTCGAATCCCGGTCAATGCATGGATGTTCTTTCATTCTCTGTACTATCTGTCGTTACTGTGAGAGCAGTGTTGACCCACCTAATATGGTGTCCCTGAAGGAGTGCCAACAAATATGCCCTGTAAATGCCTGAATTGGCGAAATGTTACCACAGGTGGGCATTGGAAATGAAAAAAAAAATTCTGATTATCTATGCTGACAATTGTCTCCTCTTAAACTATTTAAGTAACAAAATCATATTTTTTTAAATTAAGATCAAGCTAATGCTAATAATAAACTTTAAGCTAATGCTAACCAAATTATATTATTCAACAGTTAACCATGGAGCCGCGGTGGCTCAGGCAGATTTGCCACGGAAGACTTAAAATTTAAAAAGGGGTGACTAATAAAATTCAAAATTTTATTTTAAGATATTAAAATTAGCACCATTTTCTAGAGTATTTTTTATCAGTTTACTATTGTAAGCGTTATAATTACTGTTTTTGCTTTTAATATGAATAATTTGAGATAGTGGTGGTTATAATTGAATAATTAAGGAGATAATAAATAAACAAAAACGAATTGGTTTTCTACCAATTTTTACATTTTTTCACCGATGGCATCCCAGCTCAGGGGATAGAACGCTCGTTTTTCAATGAGGTAACCCAGGTTTGAATCCCAGCTTTGGCTGGTAGATACGAATATTACTTCCGGCATTCATTTACATTCATAAAAATATCCTCAGTTGTGGACGAATCATAAATTAAAATCCCTTTGCTATATTTAACTTAACATCTTCAGAACGGTTGAGTTATGAATGCATTCGTATTGAATCAAAAGGAAAAAAAAATTAAAAGCGGTGGCTTAAATGTGAGCATGGCTAATTTGATAGACTTATTTCGCTTTTACTTTAATCATTTTCAGTCTAATCACATATGTATTTTATTTCATTTCATTTTTAAGAACCGTCGTTGAACATCCGATTCAATGTTGAGTTTACGACATTGTTTAATTCCACAGCCTTGTTATTTTGTTCTCAACCCAGAAGAAGAGGGAACTCCTGAATTGAGTGTCGGGAAAAATTTGCCTTCGTCGAGAGCTTCATGAATGAACTAACCCTCACTTACGTTACATTGAGAGGAAAACCACCCACGATTAGCCAAACAACAAGAGGACTCTTACCCATGATCCGTGTACCACTGAGGATAATTTTCGTCAGCACTGTTCTGGGTGCGGAACTCGTATCGCCTAGCCATCGTTGGTATTCGAACCCGATTCATACCGTTGGGAGGCGAGAATTCTATCTCATGAGCCACCAAGTTTTCTAATCACGTAAATAATTAATGTTGCGTCAAAGTGTAACTATATAGTTTTTATTTTGAACTAAGTACTGATGATTTAACTACATCAACTACTAATATTCCACTTTCAAATAAATTGCTTAAGAAACAGTTTTGTTACCAGTTTTATTTTCGTTTACCGTTATTGAGAACTTTGTGCTCGTGCTTTTTAACTTATTAATTGGCGCAAGTTTACATGTTAGTTGACATATTTTTTTTAAATAAAAAATTTTTCAACATAAAAGTGGTAGTTTTAGTTAGTATTCAAGTGAGTATTTTTTTAATAATTGAAGTAAATGATGGTTGCAGTAAAGTGTTAATTATGATATAATTTTTAGGGACAATAATGTTGATGACCACGTGGTGGTCGAAAAGTCAGTTGGTTTAACAGCTGATCAAATTCGAAATGTATCTGGCTCTGTTGCTTGCGAAGAAGAAGGCATAAGTGTGAGTATTTATACGTTTTATATTTTAAATAAAATGTAAAGCCTGTATATAATGAGCTATGTAACATATAAAATACGAGTAAAGAGACAGCAAAGCCTCAAAATAATAACTTTTAAGGTGTTTTAAGGTTGAACGTCGTTTTTTTTATGTCTTAAATTGTCATCATGGACTGATTATAATATTACTTTCGTAGAAAAACACCTTAATTTTTCTGGAATTTTTTTTTTAGAATTATTAACACCAAAATTTTGAAATTGGAGGTAAATCGTTCCATCCTTTTGCCAAAAACTTAATCGATTTCCTGGATTCCTTTCCTAAAAAATTCCACAAAATTTGGAAGAAAAAAAAGAGAAACAATAAGAAAATAAACTGCGCGTTTATTTAGAAAAAATATGTTATAGCGTCAAACTAATCATATCCGTAATATCCAACAAAGGATAGGATATGCTTTGTGTTATGCAGACTAATGCAAAAAACAGCGTGAAAAAAGCACAAATGAAAGTACATAAATGGACAACGAAAGTACATAAATGAACAATAAAAGGGTATATAAATGGATTTATGTACTTTCATTTGTGCTTTATTCACGTCGTTTTTTGCTTTAGTATATGCGTATTAGTTGCACTACAGAGTTACGCCTAAAATAATAGTTTTATAGTATAGAATATTTTAATAATAGTATTTTAGAGGAAAAAAATTAGGTTAAAAATGTATTAAAGCTATTTTTAAGCATTCGAGTTAGCATAATTCAATTTTGTCACTTTAACGTTTTTAAGCGTACAGACAAATAACATATAAACGCAGGGCTGCCAACTTTCTATGGTATTTGTGAAAACTTTCTAAGTTTATGTGTTAATGTATGATTCTTTGTGTTGCATGAATGATTTAAAGTTATTTTCCCCACTATTACACGCAAATGACTCTAAAGCTCATTTGGAATACCACTTTATTCCGGCTCTGTTCTAATAAACTTCAACCCTTTAAAGCTGAATTTTTATAGAGCATTTTTTTCATTATTTTATATTAATTCAGATCAAAATAAGTGAAAATTATTACATTGAACATTTTAATAATTTATGGTAATAAAATACAGCATAAAACACAGGTGTCTTTTTCTACGTTAAAGGTAAAATCTTCGAAATAATAATTTTTCATATGCGGACTTATTTAGAGCTAATAGAAACAGTTAATAGTATACTTTATTTTACGGAATCAAATTATTGATAATTTCTTGAGTCTGAAAAGAAATTATTTTTTAAACTATTTTTTTACATTTTATATTTTAGTACTAATATAATTCAGATAATCTACTAGATTGTTTTAGTAGGCAATACACTGTTTTTTTATAATTTAAAGTAA